TCTATCTATCTATCTATCTATCTATCTATCTATCTATCTATCTATCTATTTAGACTGGTTGCTTAGTCCGGTTCTGTGCATTGATATTTATTGCTCCCATTAGCTATTTGCAGTCTACAGTTTGCTTATTGTTAGAAGACCACACCAACTGAACAGTAGTGTTTTTGACACCACAAAGATTTCCTCGCCATGATGATGGCCAGATGAGCTGATTTAAATTCCCAAGAGCCATTCCCTTGGAACTATGGGCTAAGTTGGTCCCAGGTTTAGAGAGACCAACATGCACCTGTCCTCTTACAGGTCTTAACAACCCTTAGACGCGTTGGGGATATCACAGCCATTCCAAAGCTCCATCATGTCAGCCGTGCTGGTTGGCATCATTAAATTAATAAATCAGTAGATCAGAGTTCCTTACATGATGAGTGAAGACATCAACATCAATGTAACTACACATGTGTTGCTATTAGGGAGCCTAGTCAGAATTTCATCAACTGACAGCAACTTATTTCTCTACGTGAACAAGTCATTTTTATTCCCAAACCCACATAGAGAGGAGAGACGCTACAGTGACGCACGCTCTTGTTTCACGTTCAGAGCGCACCGCTGGCCTGCTTAAAGTGAGACGGTGTTGTCTCGATGCTTCAGGTGGGGGAGCTGCTTCACTTTTCCTTTGCGCCACTCAGGAGCCCTGTATGGGAGTGATGTTACAGTGTTGCGTAATGTAATAATAACTCTTTCTCCTCAACGATTCCAGAGACATGAGGAGCTACAAGAACCACGCGTTCCTGTTCAGGTGTCTGATCTTAGCCAGTAAGTTTCTTTTCCCTCTTTTGTAGCACTGCAGCACACGCAGACACGGGTTAGCAAGAAAGACTGTGTTATTACTTTAGTCAGGTTCTTATGATACACTGACTCCATAGCAGGAACAGAATGCAGACTAGAGGCATATAACAGGAGTATTATCATCAGGTCTGAAAAAGTTCTTCTTCTTCTTCTTCTTCTTCTTCTTCTTCTTCCCTTAATGAATCATGCAGACCAAATGGTAAATCTTTGTAAATAGACAGTAGTCCATCCCTCTACTCAGGCAAGAGAGCTGTATCCCCGCAAGATAGTTCCATATCTCATGAACTGTATGTTCTACAACCAAAATTCTTATTTCTCTGGATCCTCGGGTCCTCAAAAACAGGCCTCAGGAAGCATTCAGCTCTGCCACTAGTTTGCATAATATGTGAAACCTGTTTTTGAACCTCAGCAATGATCAAAAACATGTTGAGACTTAGAGATATGGCCACCAAATGCCAATCCGTTCATGAGAGGCGGAGCATAATTTACTTTTTGGTGAAGACTCTTGTTGCTTGGCACTGGGGGGCGCTGTTTAAGATTAAGCTGGCAGGATTTTTGAGAGGATTTTTTTTGTCATGGCCTGTTCATAAACGTTCACCATCTTTATTAAACACAGTGTTAAAGACAGTGAGGATATTCGGAAGCATCCGCGATAACAACATTGTCAGTGTTTAACGTCACAGTACACTGTATAAATGATTACTGGCACATGGTCATGAGGCTGTAATCTCCTCAGTAACCTACAGAAGAAGTCTCTCTGGATGCGTATGAGTGATGTGTGGAGTGTTATTTTACTGTGCAGCAGCTCAGTCTTGCTTTGTTTCTCCTGCAGTTATTGACTCTGTGCCAGCTGGACACCTTGTGAAGACCAGATGTAACGACTCGGCTACTCTGCCCTGTGAACGGAAATGTTCTGGTTTGGTCAAATGGGTCAAGACCCACAGTCGAGATGAT